TCTTTGACTAAGTATATGATTCAAATAGATTCAAATTGCTGACTGTAGCTTTGTATTCCCTCTTTTTAATTTCCCAACAATCTTCCATTATACAGTATCAGGGGCAATTAAGGGAAAACACTGGGAGAATGACTTGATTATGGCAACTGGCCCATATATTTTCAAATCTTGTGATAACAGAAATATTTAAATCATAGTGCACAGGATTTCATATGTCATAAGAGTTGCACCACATTGCATCATGTGCATTTACTGCTGATACTTAAAATGTAATAGTATTAATGTAATATTAAAATGTAGTTATATATTTATCAGATGATTCTGCATCTGAGTTCACATACATTTGAATACATTTTTAAGTAATTATTCTGGTCAAACTTTAAATAGAGAGGCTAATAAATAAATGCACCTTATCTGTGTGTAGTGTTGATGTGATCAACGTATTAACATGGATGTAAACCCTCCTCATACAAAATGTGGAAGATATACTTTGATTTACATTTTTTTTTAATGTAACGTTGGTTATTGGATGTTTAGCAGCAGTTTCAAAGTGATATTTTCAGTGAGGGGTGCTAAAAGCGTAATTAAACAAATGTGGTTTAAACATGTACTGCATCATTTTAGTTCATAAATTAATTATCTAGTGAATAAAAAGGTAAATGCACATTTGAAAATAACACTACAACATTAAAGCTTTCCAACAGTGTTTAAAAAAGTGAGAAAAAAATGCATTTGCTGATGCAACCTTTCTAGATTTTAATAAGCTTTGCATCCCAAGTTCAATTCTGTCCTGAAAAACTGTTAGAAAACATACAAAAATGTAAAGATGGGGGATGCAAACATTAAAATCATGCACAATCATGGAGAATAATTCAGCAGAGCATACAGTATGTAGACTCTGTTCAGTATAGGTTAACAGAGTTTGTATTAAGGGATGTTTGAGCTTGTGAATAAAGAAAAAAACTGGACTGCTGACATGTAAAGCCACATATTTCCTAGTAGTCATGTGTAAAAAAGGTTTGTGTGAGGTTGCTGTTAGCTCTGGCCAGGATTTTCGAACATGTGCAAGTGTGTGTGTGTGTGTGTGTGTGTGTGCGTGTGTGTGTGTTTTTAGAAGGACCAAACAGATGGCATCACTAGTGTAATCTGTGAGTCTCCCCGTCAGCCTACTGACACACTCGAACACTCAAAAACCTACAAATACACTCCTACTCGAAAACACACACACACACACACTTACAGTACTGATCATCATCTTAGCTCTTTTGATCTGGATGTGAAAATAAGAATCTGATGTTATTATGTACCATAATATATTCAGTGTAATAAAGCTAACAGTTCTTGCCTTGATTTTTTTTAAGCCAAAGTGAATTTTTAGACATCTGCTATGGCATACGCACACAGTGTGTGTGTGATGTGAAATCAGCACTATAAGCATGCAGTGCAATATTTTTGCTGAGCATTAAATGTATGCTCAGATCACATATGTGCTTTGAATTGTTTTTGCACTACTTAGTTTGTCCACAGAGTGTTTAAACAGAACCAGGCCATTGTTTTACAGTTTGTGACAGAACGCAGAAGAAAAAGAACTAACTACTAGAACAAACTATACTACAGTATGTATACTTTAAATAATTTAATATTATTCCTCATAATGGTATGGCCACAGCCATATCACCCTGCAGCCTAAGACTGGTTACTCACTGAAGCTAAGCAGGGCTGAGCCTGGTCAGTACCTGGATGGGAGACCACATGGGAAAACTAGGTTGCTGCCAGAGAGGCCAGCAGGGGGCGCGCAACCTGTGGTCTGTGTGAGTTCTAATGCCCCAGTAAAAGCAAAGCCTGCAAAGGGGACACTACACTGTCAGTGAGCGCCATTTGTCACATGAGATGTCAAACTCTGTAGTTATTAAAAATCCCATGGCAGTTCTTGTAAAGAGTAGGGGTGTAACCCTGGTGTCCTGGCCAAAGTCCCTCCATCAGCCCTTATTATCATGGCCTTCCAATCATCCCCATCCACTGAATTGGCTCTATAACTGTCTCTCCACTCCACTAATAGCTAGTCTGTGGTGATTGCACTGGTGCTGTTTTCCTTTGGCTGCCGCCGCATCATCCAAATAGATGCTGCTTACTGGTGGTGATGTGGAGAGACCCCACCTTCATGATTGTGAAGCACTTTGGGTGTATGACCATACACGAAATATGCGCTATATAAATACACATTACATACCATTACATAAGTTTATATTTATAACATTTTAGCATTTATAATTTAACCAATAGAACACTGCTGATTAAATGAAGTCTATATTAACAATTCATTTACAATACAAATGTGGGACAGAACAACACAGAAGTGGCATACAAGTATATTTTCTGACAGTTAATGAGGTTTAGGGGTGGTATGAGTTCAATTAAAGTCACAAATTAATCTGGGGATGGTTTTAAACATGAAAATGTGAATACATACATATATTAAATGATTAAATAACTGAAATGATACTTAAAAAATATAACTAACACTGCCAGTAGGTGACAGCATGTCCTAAACAGTGTGTTAGTCTCAGAGCTTGTTATTTCCCTGTACCAAAATGATCCGACACAACGGTCTGGTAACATTTTTCTTGCGTAATATTTTTGTACATGAAAAGATTCATTAAAGAAAAATGTTTAAAAACATTAATCTAATATAAAATTAATATAAAGTAGTATATCAGGGGTGTCAAACTCAGTTCAAACTCATAGTTTAGTTTCAACCTTCCTTCAACACATAGCCTGCAGGTTTCAAACAAGTTGTTTGGTCCGGTGTGTTAAATTAGGTTTGGAACTAAACTGTGCAGAGCTACAGCCCTCCTTTGCAGAAATTTGGGTACATCACTGACACTTTAAGCATCTCACACCCTCGCACAAGATTAAAACGTAATAATAATCATAATTGAATATATATATATATATATACACACAAACAGTTGAAGTCAGAATTATTATCCCCCCAGAATTGTTAGCCCTATAAATTGCTCATACTCAAAGCAAAGACAAGAATGTTTTATTATTTAGAACACACATTACACTTTAAGATTGTGTGATAAATTCATTTTATTCAAATAATAATTTACATTTAAGCAAAATACATGTTAAAATAAAGTGTGTCGGGATGTGGATTGTGATCTGGAATGTTGATTTTTATTTTTTTTTTAATTGGCATACCATTGTGTTGAACAGTAGATGGAGTAGGTATGAGGATGGGGATAGACTATCTTTAAGATGCATGATCAAGCTATGTGCATAGTGTTAAAAAACTTTGATCTATATATTATACTTTATTCTATATTCCAGTTAAATTGTAATTAACATTGTAATGAGATTGGTGTGGCTGTCAGTGTTAATGGAAGAAATACACTCATTACGATCTAAAACCATCTTAGAACCATCTAAAATTGGCAACCTAAAAACTAATTTTTCAAATAACAATGTTAATAGACAATTTTATTGAAACTGATGCTTGAAATTTGTTTAAATTGCGGTTAAGAGCTCATATAACCAGCAGATGGCGCCACAATACAGTATTTTAGATGAAAAACTATATCTGTGTAAGGCCAATGCTCTACAGTGAGACTTTGAGCCGCTCATGATGCTCTAACAGAAAATACCTTGATCTGAAGGCAGTAATACGAGACTGTGGTTTAGTTTGGCTTGGGCTGGTTTATAGTGTCAGTTTCAGAAATCTACCTAAAGCTTTGAAATGCATATTTTAGTTTATATGAAGACACAATTTGATTAAATTGAAACACAAATTGAACACAGGATTAAATCTAAATTGCACAGCCCATTTTGGTCACTGTCTTTAAAGCAAAGTATGTTTGTTCACCAATATAATCAGCCAACTCATGCTATTTACATTTCTTGCTTCTATGTTCAATATGACAACAGGTTCACTGTTCATACCTAAAAATGTTAAACCTTTCGGTTTAAAAACAAGTAAAAATTGTTGAGCCTAAAAACCAGAAACCTTTTACATACTTTATTTCAGAACTTGTGTGCTTCACACACACATGCCCACATCAATGAATACTTTTTATAACTTAGAAGAAAGCATAGTCTTAAAATTATACAAAATAATGCCATCAGAGATCACTCATACTATTAAATAAAAGTAAAATTTTCATTTTGCAGAAGGACACAATATATGAAAAAGTGTTAAGTCTATAAGAGTCTTTGTGTTTGTGTTGCTATGGGCTGTTGTTAAGGGTGTTACATAATGATCAACAGAGCTGTTGAGTTAAAGGGACATTACTGTGTTTTAATGTGGAAAAAAGTGTCAAAGCATTATTATCATTCCTATTTACCCTGTCCTCAGAAACCAATAGGACATAAGAGCTAATTACATAGGATCTGGGCAGTTAAAATAGCATAAAAACACACAGCGGAATGCAAAATGATTGATTTCTTTTATTAAAAAAAAGGTTTTGAGGATGTCTCTATATCTAAATCATTGTCACTTGAACATTTTGTCACATAATACCAGTGTAGGGATTTGAGTGGTCCCAGTGCCATCAATAAGTGCTGTGAAATCCACCATACAGAAGCGGATTGCACCAATGTCTCTCCTAACGGGTGGGATGGGGATGTGGGAATGCCGAGGGATGGGAATTGCAGAACTGCGCGAGGCGTCTTTAATCTTTTATCTCCCCCTCCTGTTTTTCTCGCATGGCTGCACCCTTTTTCCCATTCCGAGCAACAGTGAGCGGTACAGTATGCAAACCACACCCTTCCACCCCCTCCACCCTGCCCAGAGACCCCTGAAAAAGCGTGATTGGTCAGGAAGTCGTGTTGCCTAATGACTGATTGTGCCACAAGCCACAGCTAAGCGGCTAACAGCAGCTTGGGGACACACGGGGGGATGGTCTGCCCTATTTCCCTCTTCCTGTTTACCTTATTTATTTTATGTAAGCCCATACACTTCCCCCGCCCCTTCTCTCTCTCTCACACACACACTCACACCTTAAATGTAGTTTCCCGTAGAGCTGGAGAAGGAGGATGCTGGTTGCTACAGCCTTCCTATTTAGACCTGCCGTGGGAGGAGTTGAGTGCCGCCGCTTCTCTCTATTCTCCTTTTTCTCTCTCTCTACCTCCATGCGCACTTCCAGAGCTGTGACAGTGGGTGTTACTCGTCTGCCCTTGGGCTTGAAAGTCACCCAAGACCCGTTTCTTTTTCATTGCTAGCATCATTTGGTTTTTTCTTATTGCTACTGATACTGAGGGACCGTTGCTATGGCGCACGCTGCAGCAAGCATCAAAAAGGCCCGAGTGGAGATGGAGCAGGCTCCCGACCTGAAAGCGTTGGAGAAAGCCCGTGAGAAAAGAAGGCGCTCGCGTGAAAGAGCCGAGCGCAGGCGTAAGGTAATGCAGGCGCCGCTATTTTCCATCTCACCTTATCTCCACCAGAGCACCAGGGACACGGGCCCTCCTCCACCCTTTCATCAAACCATTCATCAACCATCCATCAACATCAAGATGCACTTGTCTGAGAGGGAAGAACGCTATCATTACAGGAGGCTGCGTGGATCCTTTAAATAAATAGTTTTTTTGCTTGTCAATACTCTGTATTGTGTGTTCACACCACTCTCTGATGCATGTTATCCACTAAAATGGTAGACCTAATCGTTAAGGTCTTTAAAAGCCATGTTTTAACCTTTCAAGGTGTGATGTCACACACGAATCATTTGTTTTGAGCAATACTTCAGGTCATACAACCTAATCTCTTTCACATTCTCTAAATTTGCACACACATTTAAACGTTTCCTGCATTCTAATGCACGGCATCCAGTAATAATCACTTTATGTGTATTGATGCGGCACATGTTCATAACCTAATGTATTTTTAAAGTATTCACCGAGTGTTGTTTTGTTCTGTTTAGGGCACCAAAAGGCTCTTTGTTTGTAGTATAGAGTGATAAAGTACGTATCTCAGTCCTGTTGTCAGAGCTGCAGTCTAATTGCGCAGACTTGGCTCTTTTATAGTGTCTGGGTGTATCTATCATGCATTCTGAATATGAATACACAGGGGAGCGTCTGTTTCAAAGTCATAGGTTGTACAGATTTTTGAGTGTGAGTGTTTGCTTTAAATTATTACTGATATTTTTCTCCAGGTAGACCTTCAGATATCTGCAGATTATAGAATTTATAAGTACTGTGAAAGCTTTATGTTGACACATGTTGTACATGTTAGGACAAGCTGTACATCTTCTAGAACATGACTGTGGTATTTGAAATGCTTTACGATGAGTGGTCTGCTGTACAGGCCATCAGTCTTGATAAACGCTTACAGCAATAGTTATTGGTCTGCAAACAAACTGCATCATAAACAATTTCAGGAAGTCATAAAAATGATTAGTTGCTTCTCTCTCTCTTTTTTTTGTTTAATCATCATAATAATTTTTATAATTCATTTCAGAGTGCTAGGTAAGGGGAATGGTGTGAAAGGATTTTTACATTGTGTTTATCCCATATTATCATTGTTAGAAGTGAAGCTTTTATCTTCTACAGTGAAATGTTTCATATATTTAGTTCAAAAGTGCCTAAGAGGTTTAATTATTATCCAGGGCTAGAGCTACTCTTGGGTTGCCAAATGAGTGCAGTGAAATGATGCAGTGCTAGAATGTTCTGGTTAGATGCTTAGCAATTGACATCCAATCACATGCATCATAGTCCAACACAGGCTCTTCGCAGATATGTGCTTCAGCCTACATTTTTGTGAAGACACAAATAAATGCTGCAACATACACCGTAAAACCCAAAAAGTTAAGGTAACTCAAACCATTTGAGGAAACCAATTGCAACAAACCATTTAAGTTCAAAAACAAATCCTAATGAGTACTGTGAACTTAATCCATTAGAGTAAACGAAGCAATTCGAGCACAGTAAAACCCAATACATTGAGAGAATTCAAACCAACTGAGTACTGTAAAACCCAATAATTTAAGGCAACTCAAACCGTTTGAGAAAATCGATTGCTACAAACCATTTGAGTAAAAAAAATCACCTGAGTACTGTGTACTTACTCTATTTAGGTTGAAGTAATGAGTTATTTAATTAACTCATTTCCTTCAACACTGATATCAAAACTCTTTTCAAATGAGTAGGATTAACTTTCAGTCAAATCTGAGTTAACTTCACTGATTTCATTTGATAAAGTTGACTCTTGGGTTTTTAAGATGTACATTTGACTGCAGTTTCATAGATCAAATGAATGCTATGTGTATGAGGCAGTATTGTAGATTTTTGTTCCTTTTCACACTAACAGGGGCATATTCAGGGCTTGACATTAACTTTTTCGATCATTAGCCACTGTGGCTAGTAATTTGCCAACAAGCTTTTTAAACACTCGTACACATCACATCACACTAAAGCCCTCGTCAGATAGCCTGTGTCTCACTGTGCGCATGATCATTCTCTCATTTGGTATTCACCTGCTTTCTTTTGCTTGCGTGAAAACAGTTATTTACGATAGTCTCGCTGCTTCTCGATTCTAGGATTATATTTGCCCACATATTGGGCCATCCTTATTGTCAAACCCTGCTATTACAATAAAGCATTTTTTAACCAGCTAAAGTGGCTTGTGGGAATGGCTGTCTAACCCACTACAGCTGAAATCTACCCACATTTGCCGTGTGTAATGTCAAGCCCTGGGCATATTATTGACAAGGATTATTTTTATGTAGTTCATTGCACAACAAAAAATAAATAACACAAAAAAAAAAAACAAAAAACAAACAAAAAAAAAACTCAATCATGATTTGCAATCAAATACAACTCCATATGGACAAGTTTTCTTGTATGGTAAGTTTGCTCTGTAGCTCGCTTTGTATGGTGTTGAACTTGGTGTCTGATGGTGTCTGAATATAAATTCAGGGTAAATCTATGTGAAAATGCACTTTTCTCTTGCTTTTGCTTTGGAAAACACTATTGGTTGTGTTAAGGGAAGAGTTTAGTTCAGTTTTAGTTTCTCATGGACCTGTAGGAGAAAGATGTGTTTCTGAAACATAACAAAATCCACTCTAAAGTAATGTATTTCAGATTCTCAAAAATGTAAGATCAACTTCCAGTAAACTTTTCATCTGAAACATAGCAACAAAACATAAATGGAGCAATGTAATGTACATTATGCATGAGGCACATGTTTTCAATGAGCCTGGGTTGTCATATTCACAAGTTTTTGAAAGTCACAAAAGCAACTTTAAAAAGTATGAACAGCATTTCCGCAATTTGAGAGGAAAAATGCGTGAAAAGCATCTTATGAATAGTTGAATCGTTGAATAATTGTATATACCAAATAGGTATAAAATAACCAAGGGTTAACGAGGTCATGTGTGGAAAATGTTTTTGCTGTTTTAGCTTCATGTTGCCCGGGCTGATCTTCAGGATTTGAAATACACACACATACAATGAACACATAAATGAATACAATACTTGTAAAACAAATCCTTGCTTTGTTACAAATGGGATAAATTCACCTTTAAATGGCAGTCAAAACAAATTGAAATTGAAATGTCATTATAGCCAAAGCCGTTTCAAAGGATTTTTCTTCACATTAAATAATTTTGAAGAACAACTTTTCTGCTTATGGTTCCTTAAGCAATGTTAATTTGTGACCTGTGAAGCTCTTACTGTTCGACAGGGACACCCAAAGACAGTACTGAAGGGCCAGTGTCCTGCAGAGTTATTTCGACGACATAATCATGTATACAAATAAAATAAAACATGAGAGTCTAAAAACTTTTGTAAGATGAACTACTTTCTTCCACTATTTATTCATCTGCAGCTGACATCAGAACAGCAGAAGCTGTTACAAGTTCACCGTCACTTTAGAGCTAGTATTTGAATAATACTCTAGCGCAATGTCTAAAGTGAGACAAAACAGGTGATTTTGCTGGCAATTTAAGATTATAAGGCTGAACGGCATAAAATGCCATCTATCTAGAGATATTTCACAGTATTTCTCTGTTGCAATCGAGATACCACAATGATTAACTCAAAGCCAAAGCAACGCAAACACTGTGAGATTATTGTTGTGTTTGCTAAAATGCTAAACACATGCCGGCATTTCCTCTTTTTTTTTTTTTTTTACTGAACTAGTCTGCAGTAAAGAAAGCCAGAGCCGCATTAGAAACAAACAGATGGCCATCCAAAAAGTAACTCAGGATTACACAAAGAGTGGCCAACAAAAAAATACATATATTCCTGAAATCTGAGTCTCATCTCATACTCAATACACTACAATTATATGCTATTAATACAGCGTTACAACATACAAAAGAGAGAGATCAACTTAGAATATCACTTCACTGTTTAATAATGACTTGATCAGCTGTAGTTAGAAATTACGCAGTTTTTCTCTTCTAAGGGCTTATTATGTGTTTTTGTCACCATCTTGTGGATAAACAACATCAACCATCAATAACAGGCTAATGGACGCCGACGCGCTTCATCTCAGAAATGATAAATATTTAATAAATAAACGACATAGTTCCAATCAAAACAACTACATTCCCAAAAAAGCCGCAAAAGTACATTATGTTGTCCAACAGCTGCAGAATTTGTCAAACTGTAGAGTGCCTTTTGCTTGTTGCTGTATGTGGGCATAGTAATACAGAAGGGTGAAGTAAGGGTGCTGTTATTTGTAGAATATTGCACGGCTATCAGCCAATAAGATTCATACAAGCACACTTTTTCAGCCTATTCCAAAAAATAAAAAATAAATAAATAAAATTCAGTCAAATGAAAGAAAAGCTTTAAAAAGCAAAGACACTGATATTTTGCAGCATGTACAGTATGATAATTAATACTTACTATTATCATAATTATTTTTTCAGAATAAGATAAATAACTTTGAGAATACTTTTTAATTTTGATATTTTTGTTTTCGACAGTAAAAATTCTGAATAGCCAACTATGATATGATGAAATTTGAAAAAAGAAGAATAAATTCCTTTTGTTATTTGTATATTAATATCAAGAGCTGTATCTCTGATAATACTTATTTGTGAATAAGGCATGGCTGAAATTGGTTACCATTGTAATATAGCACTGCCTTTGTTTTGATTAATTTACATTCTGGATAAGTTTAATTTCTGAGAAAGTGAATGTGTTAGATTTATAATATATGTAGTTATGTGATAGCGTATTACAGTGATGTGCAGGTAACTTATAATTACAGAATTGTTCTGTCTGCATACATACTGTAGTTGAAGAAAACTGACTCCGCTGTGTGGTGGTTGGTTTTTTAGTGAGATCATGTGTTGCTGTTATGTTCATTCAGACTTAGTATATTTGGTCTCCCGTGTATAAAGCTTAAGGCTACAGGCTTACTTCAGAACTTGATCACAAAGAACAAAACTAAT